AGTAATCTATTGTTAAGGAAATTAACTTTTACGCAATGAGGTACTATCATAAAACCGAATTAAAACTGGGGAAATATAATATTTTTACTCCACTCAGGATCCTGAATTCAATACACATGATTACTAAAAATTCATTGTAATATTATTGTTAATATATATTTTCCTTTCTTAATTAATAAAACTAATAAACATATTTATAATAATAATAATAAAATCTAATCAATGCATATCATTACTTGGTCTTAGTAGTAATGATAGAAGTCTTGCCTGAATGCCGGTCATTTCCGGGTCAGTGGTGGGTCTTAAAAATATATAAAATACAGCTTTTGTTTAGTAGCTAAGTGTATATACTACTTATCCCAGAAAGGAGGTGTTTTAAAAAAGCCCTACGCCCAGTAACTTCTCCCTTCATGGTTTACTCGAAAAAAGTGCTCGAATATGTTTTCATTTGCCGAGAGATCATTTTCAAAATATATTTATAATAAAAATATGCAAGTCTTGGTGATGAAAAATGTACTCCTAATAAATTATTAAAGTACATAAAAAAATAGAAACAAATTTTATTTATTTAAAAAAAAACTCTCGCAAAGGCAGGTTCTTCTTTCTTCTTGAATCAATTATTTCGGACAATAATGCGCCAAAGTAAAATCTGCCAAGTTTTTACATACATTTCTTCGTCTTTCTATATTCCTTTGGGTGTCCATACAACAAAATAAACTTGTGAAATACCCGTAACAAGCATTTGTTCCTGGACTTGAAAGTAGTAATCATGATTTTTTTTTTAATTTCAATTCTCTGTCAATGTACAAAATTTGATTATTTTTTTTCTAACCGCTTCTTCGGGAGACAAATCTTACGATTTTGAAGGGCATTTAATTTCGACTAATGCACTCCTATCCTCTAGAACCCTGTCTGGACTAGCAGCCAAGTAAGGAAATTGTTTTGAAACAAACAAGCCACACCGTTCAGTTTTTTTTTTTTATTTATTTTAAAACACTTGACAGCTTTTTCCTCACTTTGCTGTCCGTAGTATGTATGACTATTATCTTTAAATGTACTGTACAACAGAGACTCCACAGTTTTAGCTATTTCTGTAGTCGGTCTAAATTTGTAAATACGTCCAAAATTTGAAGCCATAACCCTAATTTCTCTATCTTTTGCCCAAATGTGCCTGTTGCCTAGTGTCTATTTCAATTTGGTCTAAATTCAAAGATAATTTTTTCAAAAAAACCTCTTTGGCTGTCACAAAAGTTTCTACATCCATGAGAGGATTTTCTAAAAAATATTTAAACCATAATCGCAGTCGGGACCAGCATACGTAAAATTTTTTACGACATATTTTTTTTACGAATACTTTGGCTAAGACGAGCTTGTTTTATAGACAAACAATATTTTTTTGTTATTAAGCCAAGACCGTTTTAATCACAATATATTTACTTATCCCCTCTAAAAAATTGATGACGTCACCTCAAAATTTTGCTGAATAAATCCTATCTAAATTGTATAAAATATGATGAGTCTCTTCTTGTGATTTATCATTCCATTCATGTTTTTTGGATTTGCGTATACACGATGACCCCAAAAATTAATGAATGCGTAAATTTATTTTATTGATTTAATCAGGAACTACAGAACCCAATGCTTTGAAATCTTGCAAATGTTTTAAGGTTATAAAGAGCATAATAAATTTTTAGTCAAAATATATTTGCTTATCCCCTCCAAAAAATTGATTACGTCAGCTCAAAAATTTGCCGTATAATCCTATTTAAAATTTACAAAATATGATGAGTCTCTTCTTGTAATTTATCATTCCATTCAGTATATTTTTTGGATTCGGATATACAGGGTGACTCAAAAAATGTAATGAATGCGCAAATTTATTTTATTGATTTAATCAGGAACTACCAAACCGAATGCTTTGAAATCTAATGTGAAAAAAAAACATAATAGGCAAGCAGTCGTCACGTTTCCGATAGCGAGGGAAGTACTGTCTAAACTCTTTAGACCAATTTTTTTGATTTTCCCATTTCTCCATTTCTCAATTTTTCAATGTTTCAGTTTGGGATTTTTTCACTGTTTCGATTCTTTAATTTTCCTTTCATTTTTAGGTTTTTCAATATTTCAGCTTTGGAATTTTGCAAGATTTCGTTTCTTCAATTTTTCAAATTTTTGATATTGTGTTTTCTCGGTTTTTAAATTTTTCGATATTTTAATTTTTCAGTTTTTAAAGTTTTTCAATTTGTCGAATTTTTAAATTTTAGATTTTTTGTTCTCTATCATTCAATTTTCTGAGTTTTCAGGCTTAGATTTTTTTTGTTGTTCAATTCTTGGATTTTTAAAATTTTTGTTTTCTAAATTTTCCTATTTATCAATTTACTGGAATTTCAATGTTTTGATTTTTTGATTGTTCAATTTCTCGATTTTTTGAATTTTTAGTTTTTGATACGATTTTTTTTTTTCAAAAGTATTAACTTTACAATATTTCAGTTTTACGATTTTTAATTTTTTTTATTTTTCAGTTTTCAATTTTTGACGTTTCTAAATTTTTCGGTTTTCCAATTTTTCGATAGGTATTTTAATTTTCAATTTTTAAGTTCTAGATTTTCCGTTAATTTTTTTGTTTTCCTTGATGTTTTGATTTCTCGATTATTCTTTTTTTCAAGTTCTCGGTTTAGATTTTTTGGTTTTCCAATTTAGATTTTTAAATTGTTTAATTTTTAGATTGTTCAATTTCTCGATTTATAGATTTTTCAATTTTTCGGTTTACCGATTTTTTTCATTTAAAATGTTTCAATTTTTCAATTATTAAGTTTTCGATTTTTCAATTTTGGTGTAATTTGAAAACGGTATTAATAATACATTTAGGCGAATAAACTAATAGATGGGCTTGATAAGCCTTGTTTGCTCTACCGTGTCTAAATTGTGTTTGAATAATATAATAATTATCTCGAATATTAAAATTAATATGTCAAAAGAATAGGAGAAATGATTATTCTGTGCTGAAGGTATGATGTGGGCCGCCTGTCATAAATTATCATTATTCTGTATTATCGGCTTACGATGCTTTTATGACCCATGTCCGGTAGTCGTCTATCCCAGCGTGTCAGGTAGATTTTAAGAAGAATTGCTGGTTGCGTTTAAGGCAACAAATGGCGCCCAATTGAAACTTGTCTCTCGTCTAGCGTTCCCCCTTAAGATTAGAACCGTTAACTTAACTATAAAAAATCCCAGAAAAACTGTTAAACGGAAAATTGACTTTGTGTTATATCTCGTTACACTTTTGTAATGTACTTGCCTACTCTGTAACTTTTCTTCTTTTGTTTAAATGTATATAATAAAAAAAATGGTTGTTTCCATCTTCACCCTTTACTTAATGCTCTTATCTATTTAATCCCTCAGGTCGAACACCTTGATCGAACTGACCGGTGGGTTTTATGACCACCCACCGCCGTGGTCGGCAATGAAGTAGTTAAAATCGTAAATCATTGTACTCCTTTTGGAACACTGTACTCTACACTTTCTTTGTCTTCAGAGATGTTTAGGGGTAGTATTCTTTGACATTATAACACCAAAAGCGGTGGTTGAAAAAGATTTAGTACTAATATTGTTTCTGTCATTAGGTTTAATTCTTTAAGAGCCAGGTACTTCAGTTTCGACGAACGTCAAAATTACCGTGTCCACGATCCTAATATTATATAAAGATAAAGAAATATTTTTATTTCATTGTAGAGAATAAATAAAACTAAATTAATCTCCTAAAACTGCAATTACTTCATTTAAGTTCACTTTTTTTTTAATTATGTCTAATTTGTACTGTAGAAATCTATATTGAGTTTACACCTTACACACCCAGATTTTTTGAAAGGAAAATTAAAATCATAGATTTTGAAATTAAACTTTGAAACTGCAAGGTTATCGTATGCGTGGTAAACCGTGAATCAAAATTTATTCGTTTATCCTCTTCCAAAAAATTGATGGCATCATTTCAAAATTTTGACAAAAAAATCCTCTCTGAAATATGCAAACTATTGGTTTATCAGTGCACTCATCGTTTTTAGTATTATTTATTCAGGGTGAGTCAAAAAAATTAATAAATGACACTGCATATGGTATTGATATTGAAATTCGAGCACACAGTGCATCTATCCAAAAAAAAGATGTTGATGACGTCATCACAAAGTTTTGTAATGGAAAAACTCACTTGACACAATCGCGTAGCACGCTTCTATACATTTACTTGAACATTACATTAACTTATAATGGTTATCATAAAAAAATTAAATACGAGAAATCAAATGTTAAAGTTTTTCGAAAAATCTGGGTTCGACCAATTTTTTGATATTACAGTTTTGCGTTTTTTCATTTTCATTAATTATTATTCAATGTTTCGGTTTCATATTTTTTTGTATTTTTCAATGTTTTGTTTATTCAATTTTTCAAGTTCTTGGAATTTTTTTTTCATTTTCCCTATTTTATCTTAAAAATAGGACAGAATCGTCAAAATTTTAACTGTTGTTCTAAACAGGCCCTTTATAGTATAAACTTAAAAACAGTTCAAAATGCCTTAAAATCTTTACTTTTTAAATATATGTTTAAAACAGTAAATTCTTTAGAAAGAGGGTGAAAAACAATGAAATGGGTTTTGTGCTAAACAGGTCTATATAGTCCTAATATTTTCTTCACTTCCTAGAACAGATTAACTCTCATTCTAATTACCTGGGGCTTATCTCTGTCAGTAGGTATAAATACCACCCTATACCAGGTGACGGACATCAGTATTTCGAAGAGCGTTGTGTGTTGTGTGTCCATTTAGAGGTAAATTTATCCACAATTGCGCGTCTTGTGAAAAAGACATGTGATATTATATCAAAGACAGTACCTCACTCAGTTCTACTAAAAATTCTTTCAACCCCACAGAAACCAAGGAAGTTGTGCAAGATCTAATAATGTCGAAATTTGGTTCCCGATTTCACAAAAAATGTTTCAATTCGTCTTCTCAGATGCCAAGGTGGCAAATAGGTGGCTCATCCAGTAGCAGTAATTGCGAGAACTCGCATTGTAGTACCAGTGCCAAAATTGCTGAAAACGTAAGTATAAATGATATGAAAAAGTTGTTAATTATTAAAAGCAATTTTTTCAGAACTCTGATCTCAGCATCAATACGTCAGATTATTCAGCTTCAATATCAAGTGCAATGCTTGGGGAAACCGTTGAAAATGTGCTACGCTATTTGGATGATTGCATAAATGGAGGTACGTCAACAGAAGAGATTAGTTCACCGTCGTTTGAAGAATATTCTTCTGAAACCGAGGAAACAAGTGGTGATGAAAGTTCGAACCTATCGTTAGAATTACTAAAAACTAAAAATTGGATGTTACAACAAACTAAGGATCAACTTTTGAAAGCAATTGCTTACCATGAAAAGCAAAACAGGTTAACTTTGAGCAAAGAGAGGCTGGAAGCCGAAAAATTACTTCTTATAACAGGTAAATCTTATGCAAGTTATTGGCTGGTTTTTACATTCTCTTTACAGACGCGAAACTACAATCTCTTTCTTGCGAACCTAAAGAACTTGCACGTGTTGAAAATGAAAGCTGGTTTTGCTCAGGAGACATCGAAATTTCCAATATGCAGGTGTTTCCTAAAGGGTCCAAAGATCAACATTTTGTATGTCTGATAATTGTCGGGTCCAAGGTATTTGCTGCTGAAGCAGAGAAAAAGAAATGGAAAGGATGTGTTTACTTTAACGCAAAATTCAAGCTACCTAATTTACAACCCAATTTTAAGTTGAAGCTTCAAATATACTCGGCTTCTTCGAAGGTATGTTGTTTTTGTTTTTCTAATTTATGGGAAAATAAACAAACTCATCAATTACAGGATTTTAAAAAAAATAGCCTATTATCACAAGCTTTTTGTGATTACCCTAGCTACGAGAGTGAAGTCCCTTATCGAAAATCAGTTTTTTCGCTTTGGGGAGAAGAGGACATCGAGTTATGTCATTTGACGAAATCTGGCAATCTACAAATACAAATGGGTTCCGGACTTTTTGCAGCTTTTATCTCCAGTCGTGTGAATATTAATATGAAATTATATGGATTTGTAAACGTAAGCAAAACTTGGAAAAATTATCTTTCTTGGGATAGAAAGTTTTGTTACTTCATCGATGGAGTTTTGAATTATTACAACTATCCGCCAAATGACCTGAACAAGGACACACCAACGGATGTTATAAACGTAGAAACCTGTGAGTTAACAATTCCATCAAGGGAAGAGTGTTGTAGGAAACGCACCATTTGTTTAAAAGTAAATGGAAGTGACAGCGTTCTGATGTGTTTTGAAACGCAACAGGAGTTTGAATATTGGGCTAAGTATCTGAATATTGCAGTGTCACAAATAAAAATGTGGAACAAAATTTGATTAATGTATGTATCACTATAGAATGTGTACAATGTTGTGATAGCTTTCATTTTGCCATAATTAAATTCTTGTAATAATTATAAATTGTGCTCTTTTGTAATTGTGTGCTAATTATTTAGCTAAATAAAATTAAAAACTGTATTTTTAAAATTGAGTTCTGTATTTATTTTTCAAACCCTACATAAACAATGTAAACAAACTCTCTAATTTGCAGACTGGGGGTTAAAAATGCTCCAATCAAATCAAAACTCGTCATTTGCTTATTTCTTAATACGCGAATTGTTGACACAAAATTTTAACCCGTTCGCGGAAACATTTGTTGCCTTAAACGCAACCAGCAATTCTTCTTAAAATCTACCTGACACGCTGGGATAGACGACTACCGGACGTGGGTCATAAAAGCATCGTAAGCCGATAATGCAGAATAATGATAATTTATGACAGGCGGCCCACAACATACCTTCAGCACAGAATAATCATTTCTCGTATTCTTTTGACATATTAATTTTAATATTCGAGATAATTATTATATTATTCAAACACAATTTAGAATCTGTAGAGCAAACAAGGCTTATCAAGCCCGTCTATTAGTTTATTCGCCTAAATGTATTATTAATCCCGTTTTCAAATTACACCAAAATTGAAAAATCGAAAACTTAATAACTGAAAAATTGAAACATTTTAAATGAAAAAAATCGGTAAACCGAAAAATTGAAAAATCTATAAATCGAGAAATTCAACAATCTAAAAATTAAACAATTTAAAAATCGAAGAATTGGAAAACCAAAAAATTTAAACCGAGAACTTGAAAAATCGAATAATCGAGAGATCAAAACATCAAGGAAACCAAAAAAATTAACGGAAAATCTAGAACTTAAAAATTGAAAAATTAAAATACCTATCGAAAAATTCAAAAACCGAAAAATCGAAACATCAAAAAATGGAAAAATTGAAGAACCGAAACATTGCAAAATCTCAGAACTGAAATACTGAAAAACTGAAAAATGGAAGGAAAATTGAAAAATCGAAAAAGTGAAAAAATTCAAAACTGAAATCTTGAAAAACTGAAAAATTGAAGAATCGGAAAAGTGAAAAAATCCAAAACTGAAAATTGAAAAATCCAGAAATCGAAAAATTGAAAAATCACAACTGAAGAAAGAATTGAAAAATCAAGAAATAGAGAAATGGGAAAATCAAAAAATCAGTTAATCGAAAAATTGAACAATCGAAAAATTTAGAAACGTCAAAAATTGAAAACTGAAAAATAAAAAAATTTAAAAATCGTAAAACTGAAATTTCGTAAAGTTAATAAATTGAAAAACTGAAAATTTTTGAAAAAAAAATCGTATCAAAAACTAAAAATTCAAAAAATCGAAAATTTGAAGAATCAAAAAATCAAAACATTGAAATCCCAGTGAGTTGATAAATAGGAAAATTTAAAAAATAAAAATTTTAAAAATCCAAGAATTGAACAAAAAAAATCTAAGCCTGAAAACTCAGAAAATTGAATGATCGAGAACAAAAAATCTAAAATTTAAAAATTCGACAAATTGAAAACTCATGGAACTGAAAAATCGAAAACTCGAGATAGTGAGAAATCTAAAAACCTAAAACTTCAAAAACTGGAAAATTAAAATATCGAAAAATTTAAAAACCCAGAAAACACAATATCAAAAATTTGAAAAATTGAAGAAACGAAATATTGCAAAATTCCAAGGCTGAAATATTGAAAAACCTAAAAATGGAAGGAAAATTAAAGGATCGAAACAGTGAAAAAATCCCAAACTGAAACATTGATAAATTGAGAAATGGAAAAATGGGAAAATCAATTGGTCTAAAGAGTTTAGACAGTACTTCCTTCGCTATCGGAAACGTGACGACTGCATGCCTATTATGTTTTTTTTCACATTAGATTTCAAAGCATTCGGTTTTGTAGTTCCTGATTAAATCAATAAAATAAATTTGCGCATTAATTAAATTTTTTGAGTCACCCTGTATATCCGAATCCAAAAAATATGATGAATGGAATGATAAACTACAAGAAGAGACTCATCATATTTTGTAAATTTTAAATAGGATTATACGGCAAACTTTTGAGCTGACGTCATCAATTTTTTGGAGGGGATAAGCAAATATATTTTGACTAAAAATTTATTATGTTCTTTATAACCTTAAAACATTTGCAAGATTTCAAAGGATTGAGTTCTGTAGTTCCTGATTAAATCAATAAAATAAATTTTTAGGCATTCATTAATTTTTGGGGTCATCCTGTATATACAAATCCAAAAAACATGAATGGAATGATAAATCACAAGAAGAGACTCATCATATTTTATACAATTTAGATAGGATTTATTCAGCAAAATTTTGAGTGAGGTGACGTCATCAATTTTTTAGAGGGGATAAGTAAATATATTGTGATTAAAACGGTCCTGGTTTAATAACAAAAAAATATTGTTCGTCTATAAAACAAGCTCGTCTTAGACAAAGTATTCGTAAAAAAAATATGTCGTAAAAAATTTTACGTATGCTGCGATTATGGTTTAAATATTTTTTAGAAAATCCTGTCATGGATGTAGAAACATTTGAGACAGCCAAAGAGATTTTTTTGAGAAAATTATCTTTGAATTTAGACCAAATTGAAATAGGCACTAGGCAACAGGCACATTTGGGCAAAAGAAAGGGAAATTAGAGTTACGGCTTCAAATTTTGGACGTATTTACAAACTTAGACCGACTACAGCAATAGCTAAAACTGTGGAGTCTCTGTTCTACAGTACATTTAGAGGTAATAGTCATACATACTATGGACAGCAAAGTGAGGAAAAATCTGTCAAGTGTTTTGAAATAAATAAAATTATAAAAATTGAACGGTGTGGCTTATTTATTTCAAAACAATTTCCTTACTTGGCTACTAGTCCAATCAGGGTTCTAGAGGGTAGGAGTGCATTAGTCGAAATTAAATGCCCTTCAAAATCGCAAGATTTGTCTCCCGAAGAAGCGGTTAGAAAAAAAATAATCAAATTTTGTACATTGACAGACAGAGAATTGAAACTAATTACTACTTTCAAGTCCAGGGACAAATGCTTGTTACGGGTATTTCACAAGTTTATTTTGTTGTATGGACACTCAAAGGAATAAATATAGAAAAAATTTATAAAGACGAAGAAATATATGTAAAAAGATGGCAGATAAACTTGTCAGATTTTACTTTGGCGCATTATTGCCCGAAATAATTGATTCAAGAAGAAAGCGGAACCTGCCTTTGCGAGAGATTTTTTTTAAATAATAAAATTTGTTTCTATTTTTTTATGTACTTTAATAATTTATTAGGAGTACATTTTTCATCACCAAGACTTGCATATTTTTATTATAAATATATTTTGAAAATGATCTCTCGGCAAATGAAAACATATACGAGCACTTTTTTCGAGTAAACAATGAAGGGAGAAGTTACTGGACGTAGCGCTTTTTTAAAACACCTCCTTTCTCGGATAAGTAGTAGATACACTTAGCTACTTATACGTGTTAAACAAAAGCTGTATTTTATATATTTTTTATTATTATTATAAATATGTTTATTAATTTTATTAATTAACAAAGCAAAATATATATTAACAATAATATTACAATGAATTTTTAGTAATCATGTGTATTGAATTCAGCATCCTGGGTGGAGTAAAAATATTATAGTTCCCAGGTTTTAATTCGGTTTTATGATAGTACCTCATTACGTAAAAGTTAATTTCCTTAACAATAGATTACTACGGCCGGTCCTGGCGGCTTGTTATAAAACTGAGTTCCTTGCCATAAATTAGAAAAATCAGCCGAGAACTCTAACAATCAGCTTATGGTAGAGCAGGCGATAAGGGTTCTACCTGGAAAGTCGCTTCCATAAATTTTAGTGGCACTCCTATCGGCAAAGTACTGAACTAACTGCTCAAATTCTGTCGAATTGATACCCATTTTTTTTCAATGATTGTTAGTTTTTGTTAAAAACTCTGCTAACCAATAGATCATTAATTTTCCTCTGCTTATCCCTGTTAAAATTATTCGACGTATTTTGCATTAATTTGTGGTATATTTTGATTTTAATAAACACATTATTATTTAAACAAATTGTACCACTAACAAACATTTAGAATATGAAAAAAGCTGCAGTTTGATGTATGACACATCTATATGAATATCATTTTTTCATACAAAAAACCAAAAAAATGTTATACCTCGTCTAGCGAGTCCCCTTAAGGTATGTTATTATTTTTAGAAAATAATTGCGTGTTACATAATGATTAATTTTTTCAATTAACACAAAGTTTTGTAATCGACTAATCGAATGTTCAATACATACATTTCTCTCGCATAAATCGCATATTTGTTTTATACCTTTATTTTTCAGACAAATGTAGCATCTTTTCCTGTTGCCACATGTGTCATTTCTTCACTTTTGATTGTTGGACCTAACGCGAGGCGGGCTTGGCAGGTCCGTTTTGCCCTAGAATGTGCCGATTATGTTTAAGTTTAAATCTTGGGCAATAAAATTAATATTTTTACAACCCTCGGTAGAATAATGTATCGTGATATACTCTCAGAAAACGTGAAACGAGATTAAAATAAAATGAGTTTCCACAAAAATCTGAAAATTTAAAGTTGCACTCTGGTGATTCCGGCCTGCCAGGCAGCCTTTGATATATGTTATAAGGGGTTTAAATACCTTTCTAAAAAATTGTACTTATTTTGCCTTAAACGGAACCAACAATTCTTCCTAAAATGTATATACCTGCCGCACCGGGATAGACGATTACCGGACATGGTCATAAAAACATCCTAAACCGATATTGAAGAATAATAATTTATGACAGGTTGCCGACAACAGAAATATTAATTTTAATGCTGGAGATAATTATTAGATATACTCAAGCACAATTTGGACACTGCAGTATGGGAATAAAAATAAAAAAAATATTGTTTTTAAGCGTACGTAATAAATATTGCACAATT